GTTTAGTTTAGTTTAGTTTAGTTTAGTTTAGTTTAGTTTAGTTTAGTTTATTGTCATTGCACCTCATACAACGAAATTAAATGCCATCTTCAGTGTACATTATAGCTATAAAAATAAAAAACACATACTTGACATTCTATACAATTGAATTGAAAACCCAATATTGCATTAATATTGCACTATACAGTAGAATTCAATATAGTTACTGCCGTGGGATAAAAGCTGTTTTTCAGCCTATTTGTCCTTGTTTTTATTATCCTGTACTGTCTGCCAGACGGTAATAGTTCAAAAAAAAAGGGTGCCCAGGATGAGATGGATCTTTAAGAATGTTTTGAACTTTCTTAAGGCAACAGGAGCTATAAAGCTCTTCCAAAGAGTGGAGAGAGCAACCAATGATCATCTGGGCAATGAGGTTAATCATTTGGAGTGCTGTCCTGTCTGCCACTGTGCAATTGGCAAACCATTCACAGGTGCAGTAAGTTAAAATACTCTCTATGGTACAGAGGTAGAAGGTCACCAGCAGTTTTTCATTCAGTTGTTGTTTTCTGAGAAGTCTCAGGTAGTAAAATCTCTGCTGTGGCCTTTTGACCAGTGCTGCAGTGTGAGCACCCCAGGTCAGATCCTCTTTTATGGTAACACCCAGAAACTTAAAACTGGCCACTTGCTCCCCTGATAAGCAAGAGCTGGACGTCTTATCTATTCCTTCTATAGTCCACTATAAGCTCCTTGGTCTTATTGGTGTTAAGGATCAAGTTATTGTCTCCACACCACGAAAGCAACCGGTCAACCTCATCTCAATAGGCAGACTCATCCCCACTGGAGATGAGTCCAACTACTGTTGTATCATCTGCAAATTTAGTAATAGTATTACTTCTGTTTGTGACATGTGTAATAATTGTAGTAGAAGCAATTAATAGGCTTCATACAATTAAAAATAGCAAACTCCAGATCAGAAAAAAAAATCCAACCTAACAATATGATAAAGCTTGACTATTGCAAAGCCCACTCTCCTCCAAGCCCTCACATAATGGAATATTATTATTATTATTATTATTATTATTATTATTATTATTATTATTA